GGGGGGGGGGGGGGGCACCTGAGATTCTGCTAAGAAGCTCTCAGGTGGTGCTGATGCTGCGGGTTTGGGGTCCCCACTCTGGGTAGCTGAGCACCATATCCCGCATCCCTCGTCTATAAAATGGGCCGGTACCACCCACCTCACAGTGCGGTGGGAATTGAGATGCTGTTTATTAAATGAGAACCGTGCTCCCCACTGAGGCACAAATGCTGGGCAGCCCTCGGCTTGTCCCATCTCTGAAATGTGTGATTCAGATGTTTGCCTCAGCAAAATGACATGTCACCCGATGCCAGGGTCCTCCAGGCTTGCTCTCAGAGCTGGAATCACAGAGCGAATCTGTGAATCTCTTCATGGATTTCTGTCCTCATTTGTATCAGACCTCCCCCCTCAAGATTGGTCAGGTCACTGGCAGGTGTCCGGAGCTCAGAGCCACATGGCGCCTGAGGAAGGTTTGTGAAGTGGGCAGGTCTAGTGCAGTCTTAACCCCAATCTTACTTATTTGTCAGGGGAGGAAAAGGTCTCCCTAGTTCATACCACCCCAAGCATAAGCAGGACAGAGAAGGGCTAGAAGAGACGGACGTTCCGCCTGAGGCCTCTCTGTGGAGGTGGAAGTTCTGGACCTTGCCCAGTGGAATGTCCAGTGAGACTGGCACCCTGGCCCATGAGCAGATGCCCCTGCAGATGACTCGTTTCTGCAGGCAGTGGGGCAGTGCCCAGAAGATGCCCCCTCAGCCCCTGCCCATTGGACTTCTCTCAGGAAGTCAGGCCGGACCGTGCGCTGGAACTCTCAGCAGTGGTGGATGCCTGCGATCTGTGCTGTCCCACATGGGACCCGCTAGGCACATGTAGCTGTCGAGCCCTTGCCATGTGGTTGGGGCCAATGAGGGTGTAGATTTTAAATTTGATTTAATTTTAATTCAAATAGCCGCAGATGGGTAGTGGCTGTCATATAGGATAGTTTAGGTCTAGACTAAGAGTCCCTTCTGTCCAGGCCACCTCTGTTCACCACCGCCCACGTATGCACACACCGAGGTGCCTGGGGGCTCAGACAGAGGAGGGTTCGGGGGGGAGAAGAGAAATGTAGGGGGGAGACCAGTGGACATCGAGTCGGGCTTCATAATCGAGCCCACAGCTGGCCTATTCCAGGCTCCGTCCCCCAAGGCCGGGCACCACGGGGTCAGTGGTGTGTTTCCAGTTGCCCACCTCTCTGGGTGACCTTTAGCAAGGCCACGCTCTGAGCCTCGAGCCAACTCTGGAGACAAATTCTGGCTCCAAGACCCAGCCCAGGCCCCCACACCTTCCAAACACACGTGTTTTCTTGCCCCCTCCGCCCCCATGTCGGTGGTCCCAGTGCTCGTGTGTGTGCATGTGTGTGCACAGATGTGTACACGTGTGGGCGTGTATTTCTGTGTCCAGAGCTGACCCTGCCTTGGCCCTCGGCTTCCTCATCTTTCATGTCACTGCCCGGTCCTGCCTCCACACCCTGGGCTCCTCTGCCCTCCCCGTGACCGTGCGGCTCTAAGTCCCACCTCAGTTTCTTCATTGCCCGGTGCCCCGGCTGACACCAGTGCTGATCTTGTCACACCCAGCAGCTGCGTGCAGAAATGCTACTGCAGGCCAGAGCGGGCTCAGCAGCACTCTTGCAAGATGTCAGAACTGTCCACCATTACTCTGTAAGTGTGCGTGGCTGTGGCCCGTGTCCTGGAGGGAGGGAGACGCATGCTGCCGTCGCCTGGAGCCTGCGTCCCGCCGCTGGGCTTGGGGAGAGCAGAGCTCGGCTTGTGCCTCCAGCCTGGGCCCCCTCCTGGCTGTTGCATGTTGGCGTCTGTGTGTCTTGTGAGTTCTTTGCACCCTGGTGGGGGGGTGGGACGGGAGGCTGTGGGGACAGAGCTGCAGCCATTGAGGGGGCATCCGTGGCTTGGCTGGTGCTGAGCAAGGGCCCGGAACCCTCGATCACTGCTGCTTCGATGTGTGGTTTTCCCAAATGCCCGATTTCCCTGGGTCCAGTCTTTGGAACTGCCGAATTATTTCTGCCAGTCTTAGAGACTGAGTTCATACGGTCCCCCTCCCTGGGACAGGGACCCTCGCTGCAGCGACCACGCTCACACTCACGTGCTGGTCGGTGTTCAGTCTCTGAATGAACCCTGTGAGGTGGGTGCTTGTATTATCCCCATTCTACAGATGTGAAAACTGAGGCACAGAGAGGTGAAGTGACTCACTCCAGGTCACATAATTGGCAGGGTGCAGATTTGAACCCAGGGAGTCCTGTCTCTCGGCCCCAGGGTGTCTCTGATGGGAGCGGCCACCTCATTGGGACGTCCCTTTAAGTCAGGATGGGCAGCTCTGACTGGTGGAAGCCCTTCTTGATATGTTTTAGGACTTTTCTGCCATGGATGCCTCCTCGGGGCGGGGGGACAGATGCCAAGGCCCTGTGTCCCTGTCTCTCGGGTTAATCAGATCATACGCTGACTCTGTGACTGTCCTCAGAGAGGCGTCTTGAGGTTCACACCGTATGTCCCCACTCCAAGGCCTCTGGTCAGCTCTGAAGTACGGAGGTCCCAGAATTCTAGGTCCTAGCGACCTCCCATCTCCCTCCATTTCCCCATCTGCCAAAGGGGTCACTGGGATGTCCTGGGTCCCCGGCAGAGTCCTCGCCCATTCCGGGCTGCCTCAGGGCTGCCAGAGGGAAGGTGTTACCCCTGGACTCTGCGGTGGGACACCCCAGTACCAGTCACCACACCTGCCAGGGGTTGGGCAGGGCCAGATCCAACTCCTGAAAGGTCACTTGTTTCTCATACACTAATCCCGTGCCACCTACTGCCACCACACTAATCCCGTGCCACCCACTGCCACCACAAAAGCTGGGGAGGTTTGGCTCTTTGGTTTCCAGGGCACTTTACACACTGCAGGGACAAGTCCCTGGAAATGGTCCCATTTGTGGGAGAAGCAGCAGGAGGGAGGAGGGCAGGGACCACAGGCCCCTTCAATTAAGAGGCTCTTGTAAAGTAGTCCCTTTAGGTAGCATCACAGAGGGGCCCCCCCAAATGAACACTTGCCTGCATTTCCAAACCACTTGCCTTCTTTTCAAATTGTCATTCTTTAGCCAACACTTCCTGCTGTCTTTGGGTGCCAGGCTCTGGGTGCCAGGCATGAGCAGAGCCCGAGAGCCCAGGTCACCTTCAGTTGTAAGGTCCCTGAGGCTTTCATACGGGCCTGTGTGGTCCAGGTACTCCTTCCCGGACAGGCTTCCACAGCGTGAGAGCCGTGCCTGGCACGCGCTGGCCCCGGAAGCTGGGGGGCATAGGTGAGGTGCCAGGTCTGCCCTCAGGAGCCGCCGTCTGAGAACAGGCAGATGGAGGGGTAGACCACTGCAGCACCGGACCTGGGCTCCGAGGGGGCACTGCTCAGACCATGTTGGCACCAGCCCTGGTCTAGGGACCCCAGGTCTTGCAGAATGGGCTGCCCGTGAGCAGGGGGAAAGTGGGTGGGCGCCCAGCCCTCGAGGGGTTTCTTCCTCCCAGGGATGGGCCCTGGTCCACATGAAGGTCTCCCCAGGTTGCTCTTCCCTTTTCTCCGCGTCTCCTCCCTGCCTCCCTCCTTCCTTCCCTTGGGAAAGCCAAGGGCCTCATTCGAGCTCCATGGATTTGCTTTTGAGATCTAGAGCCCAGATTCAACTGAACATTCTCCCCTGGAAAACCTGGGATGGGGAAGAGGGAGGGGTGCAGAGTGTAACTGCCCCAAGTCGACTGGCAGCCCCCATGCCCAGCTGCCCACCTGTGGACCCTGACTCAGAGGGCCCAGGGGGCGAACCACACCTCCAGGGCACACTTCTTCTTCAGGAGATTCAGAGAGAGCCAGTATGCTGGGGTAGGTGGAGATGGGGTCCCACGCTTGGAGACCCTCTGGGAGGCCCCTCTTCGTAGAGCAGGGCCCACAAGAATGCACACTGTGCATGCTCTCGTGGCTTCTGTGCCCTGCCCCTCAGAACAAAACCCTTCCCACCGGGCCAGGGAGTCAGTGGCAGACAGAGGAACCCCAGAAGAGCTGGCTTGGGGACAAGAGATCCCTTTGGCCCTTTCTTCCCTGCCCACCTGGCCTCCATGCAGACAACTTTCTCTCTCTTTGACTCAGTTTCCTGGTAGCAGGTTCCTCCTGCTTGGGTGGGGAATCATTCATGCCCACAGTCAGTCNCCATGCAGACAACTTTCTCTCTCTTTGACTCAGTTTCCTGGTAGCAGGTTCCTCCTGCTTGGGTGGGAATCATTCATGCCCACAGTCAGTTAGTCCTAGGATCCAGTCCAAGTCTCTCCTTGCTCTTCACTCTACCTCCCTGCCCTCAGCACCTCCCTGTGACCCTCCATGAGTGCCCCTGGCTAGCCCTGGACTCAGAAACACGACTGCCCCTGTGGCCCCTAAGGTGACTCTTCAGGCACACAGAGCTCCCTTTGCAACAGGAGAATGTTTGTTTTGCTGAGGCCCCATCCTGTCGTCCTTCCAAACCCCATCCCTGTGTTTGCCCTGACTTCACTTTCCCCACGAGGGTGTCTGCAAATCACATACGCACATGTGCATGTTTACTGGGTCTGCAAGATACTGATGTGGCCTAGGGGGGCATGGGCCCTGCAGACGGGGGGATGTGCCTCCAGAACCTCCCAGGGAGCTCTGGAGCTGGGAGAACCCTGAGGGGGTCTGTGGACGGGGCTCTAGCTCGGGGGGAGAGGAAGGGCCGGGACTGGGGTTCTCTGCCCTTCGTGGCTCTGGCCCAAGTGCTGGTGGCCCCCGGAACAGATGTCTTACTCTCTCCCGACAGGCGCCTGGCCCGATCCACCCTGCTGCTCATCCCGCTGTTTGGAATCCACTACACGATATTTGCCTTCTCCCCGGAGTATGTCAGCAAGAGGGAGAGGCTGGTGTTTGAGCTGGGCCTGGGCTCCTTCCAGGTGCGTGTTGGGGACAGGAGTCAGGAATCCAGGGCCCGGGCCCTAACCTGCTGGTGGTTCTAGAAACTTCTTTAGTCTAAACAAGGCCTCTGTGTTTCCATCTCTGAAATAAGTGATCTAGACTAGCAGGGAGCTGGGAGAGCCCTTTCTGCTGACTGTGCTCTGGCTCCCGTGAAAAGACACGCGGATGTCTTCCTGTCACTGTGTTGGGGTCCTGAGCCAGGCCTCTCCTGGGCCTTCTAAGGCGGTAGCTCCCCATCCCTCACCAGTGGCTACAGGTGCGAGTGGAGTGGCCTCAGAGACCTCTGTGTCCATGTCCTGACTTCAGTCTGTGGATCATGCACCCTGTGAGCTCCGAAGCCAGGTGTGTCCATGGGAGGGGACTCTCATCAGCCACTTGGCTCCATGGCTGTGGCCATCTCGGTGGAGCAGAACTTGTCCCATCTTACCTCAGATTCCTGGGTGGCAGGTGCCCCTCTCCAGGTGACTGTATTTTTCTGCTTCCCGGTGCCACCTCCCACAAACCCTGTGTGGGAGGCCCCTGGCCAGCACGCTCAGGTGATTTTGCTCTCTCTCCGCAGGGCTTTGTGGTGGCTGTTCTCTACTGCTTTCTCAATGGGGAGGTAAGACCCTGGCCCACTGGCCTCCCAGCGGTGGAGGTGGGCTTGCTGGGGAGCAGATAAGGAGGTGGCCTGCTGGCCTCACAGGGCTTATAATCCAGGCCAGGGCTCTGCCAGCTCCCAGACTGTATGCGGGGGGTGGGGGTGGCATGGTGCCAGGGTCTCCCACAGCCTCCCCCCTGTGCTAGAATCTCTCCCACTTTGTCAGCTGTGTAGCCAAGCCCAGCCTCTGGAGCAGAGTCCCCCCACCCCCATAAAGGCATCTGCTGTAGAGTGCAGACCCACCTGGGAGGGCTCTCACCATAGATATGCCTTAGTAAATAACTGAGAGTGAGGAAGGGAAGGCATAGGAATGGTGCCTATGGCTTGTGAGGCTGTGGTGGGCTGGGGTGCTGATCCGGGAGCTGCCCACAGTTCAGCACTGCTCCCCACAGGCAGCCTGCCCGCCCAAACCCAGCCCCAGCCCCTGTAGAGAAGGGACTGTGGGGACTTGGCAGAAACCTTCTAGTAATACTCCATTTCCAGTGCTGTGCTCTTGGGGTCTTGGGATATAACCAGTTAGGGCGATGCTTTGAGCAGAACCCAGGACAGAGGTACTGAGATGGGACTGGCTGGGTGGTGGCTTTGAGCGTGGTCAGGAGCCCCAGAGCCTGGGTCTTGGCTGTGAGGCCTCGGCGGGCTTCTGCATGTGAGAAATAAGAAGATTGGGCTCAGTGATCCCAAGACGGCCTCCAGAGACAAGGACAGGCAAGGAGAGGCAGTCAGGGAGACAGAGAATGGGAGTAACAGGCTTGCCCGGGGCCTGCCATGGATGTGGGAGCTGACACAGAAGGGGCGGGCATCTCCATTTGTGCAGTCTGTGCACTGACTAAGGTGTGGACTGAGTGGGACATGGAGGCTGAGATGGGGTGCCCCCCCACCAGGCTAAGAGCAAACAGGGGTGTGCTTGTCCAGAGGGGTGCATGATTTACGGTTCTCAGCCCGAGTGCATGCTGGAGCCCCTGGAAGCTTTCAAACATGCGGAGGCCTTACCCAGAGATGTGGATGTGATTGTGGGGAGCATGGTCTGATTGTCTGGGTTTTTTACACTCTCCAGGTGTGTCTAGCATGCTGCCCAATGTGGTGGTCAGCAAGAGTGGGCTCCTTGCCCCGATCTGTCTGCCCCCAGGGCCAGCTTTTTAAAGCTTCCCCGACGCCTCCTATGGGCTAGTCTCTGACTGTGGACATGAAAGGCCATGGACCCTGGGAAGCCATTAGTGGGCCTGGCTCAGACAGTGACATGGGCAAGGGGCTGCAGTCAGCTCCTCAGAGGCCTTTCTTTCCCACTGGGGACGCCGGAGCTGCCGGCTGCAGTTTGGGAGTGGACTGGGCGCTGCTGGAGGTGGCAGTGCCAGTCTGGAAGGGTCCCAGGGCAGGAGGCAAGTGGTTGAGGTCGGAGAGGATGTCCCTCTGGAGGTGACTGCCCCTGCTGCTCCCTGCAGGTGCAGGCGGAGATCAAGCGGAAGTGGCGGAGCTGGAAGGTGAACCGCTACTTCGCTGTGGACTTCAAGCACCGGCACCCATCCCTGGCCAGCAGCGGGGTCAACGGGGGCACTCAGCTCTCCATCCTGAGCAAGAGCAGCTCCCAGATCCGCATGGCCGGCCTCCCGGCCGACAACCTGGCCACCTGAGCCCCTCCGCCCTCCTCCCCTCCGCACACAGGCTGGGGCTGCCGGTGGGCGCCCGCCACGCATGTTTGCCTCTTTTCTCTCCCCGGGCAGGCCCTGGGCTGGAAGCCAGGCTCCCCCAGGGGGAAGAAGAATGCAGGCGCAGATGGGTATCTCCCCCCTTCCCATTTTGGCGCTGGGCCCACCCACCACGGACCCCTGGACCCTGACCCCAGACATGTAAATACTCCTCAAGTCTGGAAAAGTTGTCCCATCCTGATCCCTTTGTCCAGTGTCCCTGCCCACCTCAAGCAGGTCCCAGCTCCACCTACCCCATCTCCTCCAGCCTCAGCGATCGCCTGACCTGGTTGTGAGGCTGACGACCTTGCTTTGGGGGTTCGGGTGAGGCCTGCCTGCTTCTCAATGTGGACTCCTTGAGTGTGCTCGCCAGTCCCTGAGGCTGGCCAGAGGTCCAGCATGGATGGCCAGAGCGTCCTCAGTGTGGGCCAGATGTGAAGGCCCCTCCTGCTCACCCAACATCACAATATCCGGGTGCCCAGCTCCTGGGTATCTGGGCAAAGGGACAGCTCCAGGGCTCTTCTAGTCTGAGACTGCAGTTTGGGTGTAAGGCTAAAGGTCAGGGAACGTTCTGGTGCTTTTCACTTGGCCCAAGGAAAATTGCTGAGCCAGAAATGTGGATATGATTGGGAAGGAGATGGAAAGAGTGTGGAAGGACCTGTGGAAGAAGACTCACCATCTCCATTATTTTACCCCGACTCACGGCTGGCAGGGGTTCATCTGGTGGCCTCTCTTCTGCCCCTCCTGTCCTGGGCATCAGCTGTAGAGGGAGAGATGGATGCCTCAGAGAAACTGCTCCCCAGCCCCACCCGCCACTTAGAATTACTGAGCCCCCCCAGCTCCCCTTCCCCTCATGTAGAAACCATGACTAGGGTGAAACAGATGCTCTCCTGTGATGTCAGTGAGTCCTGAAGCACCTTACACCTCTGTGGGCCCAATTCTGGGGCCCAGGGCTCCTCCACCCCCACCCTCGCCCCACCTCCATGGACAATGAGGAGCCCCAGCCACCAGCTTCTTGGGCTGGGGCTCAGCTACTGAAATCTCTCTGAGACCTCAGTAAGGACCTCCCCTCACTCAATGCTCCTGCCATTGAGTCACCACGGAAGGATGCTGAGGTGTCCTAGATATTGAAGGGGAAGCCACACCCACCACGCCTGTTAGCGGAAGCTGATGGTGCCAGTCCTGGCTCCCCACAGCCTGAGAGTGAACTGGGCCAGGAGCAGGGCCGGGGAGGTGGAGGAACGTGCTAGAGCGCCTTGCCCCGCGTGTGACGCCGGCTTCGTGCCCTGTCAGCTTTTGGCGTTGCTGTCCCAGTGTGTCTGGATGTGGCTCGTGATCGTGGTCTGGATGCTTGCGGCGTGCGGGTGGGCGGGAATGAGACTTTGCCTGGTTTTAGCAGGAGGAAGGGGCCTGGGGCCTGTGGAGCTGTTCATGTCTGGAGAGGCCTTCGGAGTGGCTGGAAAGGGCTTCGCTGTGTGGTTTAGAAAACTAACCCTGGGTCTTCGTCAAAGCCGGGGGAGGAAGGAGCTGCCTGCCATTTCCTGGGCACGTTTGTGACTCAGGCTGGCCTTGGGGTGTGCCACGGTCCTTCCATCTGGCACCGGATCTCGTGACCGCCCCCTGCCCCTGCTCTGGCAGATAAGCGCATTAACGAAATTGGTGTCCACCAGCCACCTTGCACTCTGGGCCCTGTTGAGGGGCCTGAGCTGCTTGGAAGGGGCCACAGGATGGGACTCAGAGACATAGGATCTGCCCCTGTCAGGCTCAGACCACTGAGACTGTGGACTGAGCGCTCCCTGTCCAGGCCTCAGTTTCCCTGTTTGTGAGATGAGGGAGCTTCTAACGCTTCTCCAGGCTCTATGTTTTAGTAATTCTTCAGGTCGAAAGCACGTAGAAGGGTGTGTGTCACTGTTACATGTACACCCAAGGTTTTGATGTGTATGTTTGTATGTGTGGGGGGGCGGTGCTGTTTAATCACAGAAATGGAATGTGTGTCTCTTCACTTGGACACCACAGTGGAAGCTGGTGGGCTGGAGGGGAGGGACAGGGACAGTTGGACAGGTGCCTTAGGCATGAGGTCAGACCCAGCCCTGTCCCTGGCCAGGGCAAGATGCCATGACTGGGTGGGCAGTGGTCACCTCCAGATCCTGGGAGGGTCCCCAGGACCTTATTTCTCTACCCTTGCCCCATCAGCAGGTCTGCTTCACTGGGGAGGAGGAGGCTTTGACTTTATATATAGATCATCACAAAATAGCAACAACAAAATCTACCCCGAGTTCCATGTACTGCGGCTGAGCCTGGGCCTGGGTCCTCGTGGAGGTCCCAGGTTCCTGTTGGTTTGTCACTTTGTTTTTCTCTCTCAACCAGCTATTGCCCGTCTTGTGAGCAGATGCCCCTGCTGTATTTTGAATGTTCCAGGAGCGTAGGCAGCTGGCCTTCAGGGTCACAGGCGGTGCAAGGAGAGCATGAGGGCTGGGTATAAAACCTTTCCCTCTCTGATCCTTTGTTTTCAAATCTGTAAAATGGGCAGTAAGACTAGATGATTTGTCCAGCTCAATGCACCTCTGGATTCTCTGTCTAAACACCAGTCATCTACTGGGAATGGGCCCTGGGCAAGGATTTTGGTATTTGCCTGGTCTGAAGAAGGTAAGAAAGCACATTGAATGAGGAGGGGTGATGGCCCTGGGAGTAGTTAGGCTGGAGAGGAGTAGAGGTCTCAACTGGCTACTCCAGGGAGTAAGGCCGGGGAGCTGGAGCTGGGTCCAAGGCTGACATCACCCGAGTTCCATCATCACCCACCAAGGGTGCTCTCATCCCCTCCTCCTGACCCTGTCCCTTCCCAGAAAGAAGGCTAGAAGAGGCTTCCTTTGTTTTTCTGAGTACCCCTGAAGCCCTCAAGGGGGCTCCAAAAAGAAAGCAGTGAGCACTTCATCACCATGGATTCCTGCTCGGCCTCGCGACCATGGTTGCTCTGGGGGAGCCCTGAGCAGGGAGCGAGGACCTGGGTTTCTCCCAGCTTGCCACCTACCTGCTGTTTGGCCTTGACTTCTTCCCTGTATTTCTTTGGGGAGACTCACAAGGTACTAGAGCTGGGAGGAACCTTGGAGATCTGCAGGTCAAACCTACCCATTAGGCTGATGAAAAAATACAGGTGGGCCTAGCCCGGACCTGCCACCACGCTGGGATCCAGGGTGCTTTACACATGTGAGTGAGGAGATGAGCCCGTTAGTATGAGCCCAGCCCTGCACGGGAGCCTGAGAGACCCCCGGTAAAGCTTCTATTCAGAGAACATTCAGCCTCACGCAGGACAGGGGCTCTGGCCACAGAAGTACAAGAGGAGTGATGGAGCCACTGTGGTGTGGGGAGACCTGCGTGCTACCCTGGGCCTCAACCCCTGGCTGATCTCTCTGGGCAGCTGCTTCCCAATCTGAGAAATGGGCGGACGTGATCTGCGTTCCATCCCACGGGACAGGGATGGGGTCAGAGTGAGACACCCTGTGTGACAAAGGGCTCGATAACCACACAGGTGTGGGAATGGCTACTGGGGTGAAGACCCCTGAAAGGTTCCCCTCGCTGCTTGTCAGCTGCTCTGAGCCCTCCTGGGTTAACCTTGATCCCACTTGTAAAGACCACCAGCACCAGGGGTGAGGCGGAGGCCAGGGACTCCAATGGACACGCAATTCCAGGTTGACCTCGGTCGCTGATTCAGTTTGTTCTTGGGTTAGGATAGGGAGACTCCCATGTAGGTGATGTCAGCGTTTCCCTGCCACCCTCTTGGAAATCCTTCAAAGATCTGGGACATCCCTTGAGCGGGCCGAGTGCCCATTCCTCTCCTTTCCTCGAACGCGAGTCCTGGGACATGTCTGCTTGGCCGTGTGTGTCTTGTGTTGTGTCCGTCTTCTGTGGCTTTGCCCTTACGAGGGCTGCAGCGGGACGACCCCTGACATCCAGATGTGGCTCCAGGACCCCTGTGGGAGCTGGGTCAGCCTGGGTTTCTCTCCCACAGTACAGACCAGCCCCACAGCCCCCCTGCCACCGCTGCCACTATCAACGCTGTGCTCTCACCCTTGTCTGGGGTTTGCGGATGTCCAGCTGCTGTAGATGACTCAATAAATGTCTTATCATTTTTCCTGGTGGCCGTAACTGGGCGATTGTGTTGCACTGCCTGCCACCGCAGGCCCGAGCAGGTGCAGAGCCGGCGTCGGTGGGGAGATAGCATGGTGGCCCTACAGCCGGAGAGGCCATTTGTCACATGTGCCCAGGCGTCTTGTGGGGGTGTCCCAGCTGGGAGGCCGGCAGGTTCTGCCTCAGATGGCTGGGGGGAGAGGGAGAAGGCCAAGAGTTTCTCTTTCTGGTCACTTTTCAAGAAGCCTCACATCGGCTCACATCGCATTGGCCAACAGGTGACCACGTGGCCACACGTCACTGCACCCCTCATAACGCTGGAAGGAGAGAATGGATTCCGGCCAGCAGACAATAGTTTGTGCCATGGCCTCAGACCCCCGAATCTTTAGGGGTGTAAGTGGTGGTCACTGGGCTCACCTGCCCTTGTGAGGAACCAGAGACCAAGTGATCCTGTGGATGTCTCTGTCCCCTCTGCCACACTGGGAACAAACCAGGGTGCGGTCTCCATCCTGAACCACCGAGGCACCCTGGAGTGTCCTCAGAACTGCGGGAATGGCTTGTGCCCACCCACAGGAAGCCACCATGGGGCGAGAGGCGAGGGGTGAGGGCACGTTTGTACCCCTCTGCTTTCCTCGGTCCCTGCTCTCTCGTGACTGCGCCCCTGAGGTGCCTTCTGCTCTCTTGGGGCGCAGTCTCAGCCAGTGGAGCTGGGTGCAGTTCATTCGCGGGGGGCTGCACACTGACCCCTCACCACCTAAACAATCCCACTTTCCAAAGGAACTGAGCACCGGCCTCGAAGCAGAAACAAAGCAAACCCAAACAAGATGCCGACAGTCGTCACATCCTCGTGGGTGCCAGAAGACGGGTACAAAACCATCATTTCCATCTATTGTGACTCACAGAGGCTCTCCCATGGGGACTTGGGAGGGAAGGCTCAGCTTAGTCAGCTTGTCCACCAACTCAGTGGGAAGAGGCTTTGTCCTGCCCCCAGGGTCCCTCCCAGGCCACCCCCAGTCATTCTTCTCTCCTTCCCTTCAGACAGTCCCCACCCCCATCTGTCCCGTTCCTGCTACTTGCCCCTCCCCACCAGGTCCCTCCTCTCTACCCGAGGCCTAGACTCCGGCGGGGCTCCCCGGTCAGTGTTTTCCTTCACTCGTGCTCTGCGGGTGGCCCTGTCTTGTGCGTTTCCCTGGCAGTCGG